TTGAATTAAATTAAATTTAATTTCTAACTTGTTTTGCTATTTTAGTGATCAGACGCAACAGACACACTCACTCACAAACTTTTGTATTTATAATGATAAAGATTAGTAGATAGATAGACTATATATTATACTAGCGGACCCGACAGACGTTGTCCTGTCTACACGTCTTTAATTTGAAAATTTTAAACTTTTTTTAATAATTTTTTTGATGAAAATTATTATTCAAATTGTGAATCTAAACTATTCCCAGATCCCCTTGAACACACACAAAAAATTTCATCAAAATCGGTCCAGTCGTTTGAGAGAAGTTCAGTGACATACACACTCACAGAAGAATTATATATATAAAGATGATATAGAGCCTATAATAGCCTTCCTCATTAAACGGGCTATCTAATGCAAAAAGATTTCTCCAAATCGGATAAGTAGTTCCTGAGATTAGCATGTTCAAACAAACAAATTCTGCCTCTTTATAATATTAGTATAGATTAATACCTATAGATATCAACATGCTCTATGAGAACGCAACAATTTGCCTGATATAACTAGTAAAATATATTTAAGAGACAAAAGCTACAAAAAAGTTAGAAGAAACTTTTTCTACGAACTTGTTAATTTAAAAATTTAATTTTCTTTTCAACATCACTCGCTTTAACGCTGTTTTATCGTTGTTTTACTTATGTAAAGTTAAATGAAGATGAAATTCTTCAAGGTAGGTACAAGTTTTAGGGCAAAATTTAACGATTTGCTTAAACTTATCGAAATTAGTTTTCAACATTATACATCCTATTGTATTCAAAAAGCTTTTACATTATATGAATAGCAGAATTGTTAGAATCATATCTATTTCATTATTTATTTAGTTTTTTAATTTTAATAATTATAATTCAGTATATATTTCTAATGGCTTAGTATGGGAGTATGTATACTCTTTTTCAATTTATTCGATACAAAAAAAAAAAGTTTATCATAATAATTGATTAATCACGACACTAATTATTTTAACCACTTTTTACCAAACTACAGTCTATATATAAATATTTAAAGACATAAAACTTCTCCTGTGTTTGTCAACCGATTTTCTTTTTTTTTTGTTTAGAAGCTATTTTCGAGATTTAGTGTTGTCAATAAAAAAAAATGATTATGGTCAAATGTCGACCACTCGGCCGACACTGGCGAGTAAACATAAAAATGAATAATGGAATAGTAAATGTGCGTAGAGATGGTTCTGGTCGGAAAAATGACATGGGCTACGTTTTAGTACATAAAGTGGTCCCAGTAGTATAACAGTACTTTGAAGGGCACGCTAACAACACGTTAAGGCTTAATTAACATGCAAAATAGTATAAATACATTTGAATAAAAACGGTACATCCACTACTCTTGAAGTACTTATAGAAGCTATTCATTAAAAAAACGTGTGTGTGTACTTATGTACGCACGTAAGAAGTTATACTTCTTTGGCGTAACAGAACAAAAATAGCTAAAGATTTCAACCCGTATGTCACAACTCAATGTTTGTAAAAGGAATGCAGCTAGTTTCATTATGTTGCTTTCAGCTAACTTCATCATGTCATTTTTTGGCTGTCGGTGTGCGCGCGCATCGTAAAAATTTTACTCTTATAGTTTTTCCAAACGTGTCAAAAGTATATCCATATTGGTGAAATATAGTCGATCCATATTCGTGAAGATATCTAGCTCCTACGTATGAAAATGTAAATTAATTGGGAACTTACTTTCTTTTAAGTTGATCGAGAATTGGACGATATTACGATCTTAATCTTTATATGAATACTAGCGGCTTACCCTCAATTCGTTCAGGTTCGCCTCTTGAAAAGCACAAACGGATCTGAAACGGGAACCGTTCATTTTTCCGGGATAAAAAGTAACATATTTGTTATTCTGATGTATGAACTATATTATTGTAAAGTTTCATTAAAATCCAATCAGTATTTTATGTACTAAGCTGTATAAGTTACTATAGTTTTTTTGACTATCGCACAGGAACTCTTTAATTTTCCGGAATGAAAAGTAGTCGATTTGTTATTGTCATGTATGAACTACATTATTGTAAAGTTTCATTTAAATCCAATTAGTAGTTTTTTAATAATAAGCTGTATAAGTTATTATAGTTTTTTAACTACCCCACGGGAAATCGTTAATTTTCCGGGAAGAAAAGTATTTAAGATGTTGCCCGGGGATATAAGGTACCACCATGCAAAATTTCATTTAAATCGGTCCAATAGATTCGGAGATTAGCCCGTATAAACAGACAAACAGACAGAGAAACAAAAAAATTGAAAAAAAAATCTGGATTTGTCCTATTTGTCTTTTTACATCCCCCTGACTTGGTTTTTAGCATTTTTTTTCTATGTACAGGCATTCGACCTCTACAGTCTTATTATAGTATAGATGGATATGTATGAAAACAAATAGTAAACGTTTTTGAGTGCCAAAATAATGTGTTTATTAAGATATAAGAACGTCGTGTAAGATGTAGATAAATTACTTATGCACATAGTTAAGGTGGGCTTCTTCTTTCCTTAAGATTTACTATAAATATTATGTAATTAAGTTATAAATATATGTGGGGGTGCGGCGCAATAAATCCCAAGCCGCTCTGATAAGCCCGCTTAATTCTGTACGGGACTTTAGTATCATAGGTACATATATTCGTAAGAATATATTATGCTTTTAATATGTAACTATAATAAATTCTTAAGAATTATTATTATTTAAAAAAATATAATCTATATAAAATAAATATAAATATATATATAAAAATCTATGTGTGTATGTATATTGTATATTTTTCCTATCGACTCCAAAACGGCTGAAGAGTTTTTGATGAAATTTTTTGATGAAGTTTGGTAGCGATTTGAAGTTTGAACTCGCGCTCGCGGCTACTGCTCGTAGTACATATTATTAATGAGAGGAGTACAGAAGTAAGAATAAAATATTGAAAATACTTCCTTACACTTCCTTACATTGAAATTCTAGATCCTGTTGTTTTATAAATTGGTTTTTTTACTCAATCAGTCTTTTATTGTAAGCGATTATTCTACCATAACTGTCTGCTTATTCATTAACAGAGATGCCATAAACCTACCACTTTCATGACACATAAAACATATACTTCAAAAACTACCCCAACTTAGATAAAACAGCAATAAAAAATCAAAGGTTAGATACAAGCTAAAATAAGGCAGCTTTATACACGAGCGGACATTTAACGTAACTAGGACTGGGCATTTATTTTATCGTTTTGCGAGCCAATTCTATTAGTGCGATAGTTGCGCTTAGAGCGAAAGGCTCGAATTACGGACCCTGTAATCCGGTCTGATAAGAATTTATTGTATTTTATGTTGCCGTTTCAGTGTATTGTATTCTCCACTTTGGCCGATTGTAAATGTTATTTGCTGTAAAATTTAATAATAATCAGGTAACAAATTACAATATAAACATATGTATACATATACATACTTAATTCTGTTGCGTATAACATATTAAAGTATATTTCTCACTAATCGACAAAAACAGAAAAACAGTTCTACTAGTTACTACTACTATACAGGATGGAACAAATCGATGGGACATGGAAGAAAAGTATCTTAAATATTGAAGTTATCAAAATTTACACAAAGGAAACAATTATTTATTTTTAAAAATAATAATAAGTGCATTTAAAAAAAAAAAACTTACCAGAACCGGGAAACGAACCAAATAAAAATGCAAAAAAGTACACCGTCACTATTTTATCGACATAATCGATAGGGTTTATGGGAAGGATAAAATCTCTCGAACAAACATTGCGTCTTAGAATTGAAGAGAATGGTGAAATTCTACAAATTATACATATCGACTTTGATATCGTGGAACAAATGCACATGACATAGAAGAAAAGTGTCTTAAACACTGAAAATATTAAGTTTCACTCAAAAGACGTGACCTGAACCGATAATCGAACCAATTGGAAATGCAAAAAGGTACACCTCACTATTTTATCGAATTAATGGATAGAGTCTATGAAATCATACAAAAAGCACTTATCAATCCTATTCCTAACTAACGTCACAACCTAAAATCCAATTCTATCAAACAAAATAAGCCCTATTATTATTATATTTATTGGGTGTGGGGCCGAGGTCGGCACTAGCTACGTCGACCAGTTATGGTCCATTGTAGCTAAAAAAAGCCTTCTGGCTTTACCATCAGATCAGGTTAACGATACTGAACCACTGCACGATCAACGGAAATAGAAACACTTGCAAAATTTTTAAGTCTATATGAAAATAAGAAGTAGATAAAATTTTCATTAGCTATTTCTCCACCCTTAGGGGTGGTTTTTTATTTTCAATTTTAAATGGGCCAAATGGGAAAGTATACACTTTCAAACAAAACAAAAAAATTTCAAATCGGTTTTAATGACGAAGTTCTGAGGTAACAAACATTAAAAAAATCCACAGATTTCGTGTCTGCCACCACCTTTGGGTACATTGAAAATAAATGCCAAATGAACTGAACTTTTAAATGGAACAACTTTTGTATAAGTAGTATAATAATTATTCGGATAAGGGTGAATCTTGAAATCGGGCGTATTCAGATGATTCCTCTGGCGAATTTTTTATCTAATTATTATTTACTTTTACATGCAAAAGTTTAAATATAACATAATTATAAAAACATTTATCAAATAGGCATCACTGTAACTAGTCTCGTTATAAAGATATATGTGATTTAAATTTTTGGTGGCAGGGGAGTCAAAATTATAGCTATTTTATATGAATTATATGTTTTATTTAAATTTTAAACTAATCAGTCTATTGATTTCAATATTTGGACTTTACTTTTATTTGAAAGATTTAGTACATAGCTCCCCATTTTGTAATTAGTAAATAACAGAGGTATGTAATGATACTCGTATCTGTTGTCGAGAACTACCAAAGTGAAAAGCCTGAATTTCGGAAGCATATTTAGTATTGTTGTTTTTACTGAAATCAGTGCACAATGCATTCTCCTGATTTCAGTTTTGATTTCAAGTTCTTGATATAGTTGTTTTGACAAACAATATTGGCACAGTGACTCATGTACTGTTTTAATAACCACTTAAAAAGCTCAATTATGACACTGTTCATATCAGAATCATCATTGTCTTCAATAATTATGTGTTCTTCAAGTTCTTTTAACTTATTTAAGTTTTTTTTCTGATTATATCGTTTTGAACTTTCTCTATCCCTTTTTATCAAATCATTTTGTTGTCTTGGAGACATTTCACCTATTGGTAGAATTATTCCTTTACTCTTTTTGGTTAAATATTTTTGTCTTTCTTTTTCTTGTTGATTTGCTCGTAATACAGGATCACTTTAATTTTTTTCTAATCTTTGTCGCTCAGTCGCACTCGTTTTTTCTCTAGTATTTCTTCTCTTGTTTGTTTTCGAGTCATTATTTAAGCCTGTAACATTAAACTAACAAATAAATTAATTGACACCACTTTCATTTTTTTACATCTCATCAGTCTCCCTTCAACGAGAGCTCAAAAAATACTTTATTGATAATGTAACAACTAAATAATAATTTAAAATAAAAGATTTTGTAGGAGAAAATAAGAAATAATTCATTACCCTGGTACAACACCCGGGGGAATCAACACCAATGGAATCAAAAAAAAGCACATTTTTTGTCGATTTTGTAAAAATCTAAATGTTTTGTCCAGAAGTAATAAAATATATAATTAATAACACTTTACTCCGTACTGTATACCCTAGTTAAGAAACCCTAAATTATCAAAAAACAATTTTAAATGTGGGAAGGGTAATCAATGACCTAGTGAAACAAAACCAAGGGAATCAAATTCTTACCTTCGTAAATCCAGTTTTGAGCAATGAGAAGCTCGACCTACCCTCACGATGTTTAAAGCGCGACTTAAGCTTGGTCGACAGCGCGCGCTTATACTCCCATGACATTCGTTTAGTGATGTACGAGTGGATAAATCATGCGCCAAGGGGATCAATGTTTGACCTCAGACAAACCAAAACTATTTTTTTTTATTTTAACTACGTTAAATATTAGACATTGTGTAATTATTTACTTATTTAACAACTCTTCCATTAACGTTTAGATCAACACAATTCCTAAATTTCCTTTTATACATTGGTGTAAAATTAATAGTTTGTTCCATGAATATCAAAGGGACAACCCAGGGGAATCAATTTTCAGGGCTTTGAATTTTTTTTTCACACATTATCAACTATATTAACTTCGTTAATTAGCATGCCCCTAGTAGATCAAACATTAAACTAACAGCAAATAATACTTAGATTACAATTTTTATACGTAACAGGTAGTTTTTCCCTCCAGACAATGTTAATTTAGTCTCTCAAGATTCACCCATAACTGAACTCAAGTCCTCTAGTACCTAGTCGTTAACAAACCATAAGCACTATAGTAGACATGCGCCATAACATATAGCGTAAACTTACATATTAGATTTCTAAGTTTTAACAAAACGGATGTAAGCTAAGCTTGGAGGATAAGCTAACCTAACAAACATTTAAAACCGAATTTGCAATACTGAAACTTAGTATTCGAAAGGCACCAACAACATATATGTCACTGCCCCAATAGCTATCTCGGCTAATTTATGGATGAACTTAGAAACTCCATCTAGAACGCTTTAACTTGACCAAACTATAATCAGATAGCAACATTTATGGCTGAGCGGAGTTAGATGAAACGAATTCATTAAAACTGCCAAAGTTTATATTATACTATCAAATAAGATTGCTCTAATTTTGGTAAAGGCTAGAACTTAAATGTGCCTTATATTTTATTAAATATGTATAGTACGAGAGAAAATATACAAATTTAACGATTAACTGTACGTATAACTACGTTTATTTATATCGGATCATAGATAGGTAGTTAGGTATAGGCAAGTCAGAAATTTTATTATTGTTTCTCACATGATTTTCATTTTTCATCTTTATTGAAATCTATGGTTTTCGATTCGATTTAAGGTTTAACATTAATTAGAGATACAAAAGAAATCGTATGACGTAAATCTATACATATAATAAAATTGTAACTAAGCCGAATATGTACATTAGATATTTTTTGGAAAAGCTTATTGAAATAAACATTATTATCGATACAGAGCCCATAAAACGTTAAAACGTAACTAGGAACGAACCCAACCCGAGCGAGGGTGAGTCACAAGTTTTTACTATACGTCTAGATGTACAACAATTATTTGACACACGTACAAACACTAAATGAAGTCTTGAAAGCTGTAGTAGAATGCATACAAGTGTATTGTAAGTTGCTTTTCTCATTTCCATTTCAACACAAAGCCTTGGTCTGATTTGCATGTGAGCTTTGCATATAGAAACATACTTTCCTGAATGGAATGAAATCCTTTTATGGTGTAAAGAAGCAGACAAATTTATATAAAAATGCCTCAAACCTTTTTTATTATTATTACAAACTTGATTTTAATTTCAATACAAATTCGATTTAATCAATTATTGTCCACCAGCGATTTATACTCGCTTCGTTAGGACCTAGGTGCTAAGCAATAGAAAATTGTAATAATTGTAATAATAACACTTCAAATTAAATAAATAATTTTCCATATTCAATTATAAAACTAATTAAAAAATTATAAAAATATTTAAAGATAAAATATTAGGTACCTACTTTGGTGCCATTTTTCAATTTTTTGAATTCATTTTGTAAATTGTGGGTAGGCTGTCTGTAACAACTATATAATACCTTAGAGACATTTAACACCTCAGTCTCCCCCGTGATCATGATTGCTGTAAAGCATTCGAAACGTCGGGAACCAAAAATCAAAACAAATCAAAACAGCTATATCAATGATGTGTGATTTTGTTCATTTTGTCTTGAAGCGTAATATCTCGTCTCTTGCAAGGAATGGTCTTATCGGTTAGGATAGCACGGTCATAGTATAGTAGATTTTGTAATTATTATTTTCGAGAACGGAATTGGGTGTATATCGATAGTATATTTATTATGACTTAGTCCACACTGAGTCACTTAGTTTACACTTAGTCACTTAGTAGTATTCACTCAGTCACTTATTCACTCAATCACTCATTCGCTCAGTCACTTATTCACTCAATCACTCATTTGCTCAGTGACTTTTTATCTCAGTGCCTTATTCGCTCAGTGACTTAGTTACTCAGTCACTTAGTCACTCAGTCACACTCAATCACACTCACTCAGCCACACTCAGACAGCCAGAGACACAGTGACTTAGTGACCCAGTTACGTACTGACAGGGTCACTTAGTGACCCAGCCAATTAGTGACCCAGCCGATTAGTGACCCTGTCAATTAGTCAGTAATAACTTAATAAATTGGTAAGTAAGTAACGATGTGCCAGGATCACTTTCAACAGCACATCGTCCTCGCCCAGACAAAGCGCGTAGCTATACATATTTTGGTTTGTAGCACTCAAAGACAATATTTAAAAAATATAATTTGTAATTGCCATAGTGGCTTTGAGAGGCCTGACATAGAGGTACCTACAACATTGCGCAACGGCAGCTCGGGGATAGATACCATAGCTTTTATTATTTTATCTATCATTTAGAGCCTTTATATTTACAACTAGAGGTGTTAGATGTCGCCTTTTTTCAATTCTCACTGTCGCCATCTATTATCCATTTTAGGACATACAAAATGATAAATAAATGATGTCCAAACATTTCTATGGGACGCACTCTCTGTACTAGTATAGTAATTAGTATTATATGATCTGTGCCCCTACATACAAATTTACAAACTTTACCTCTATAATATCGGCAAAGATTCACTCAGAAATGGTCTGACAATGAAAACTTAATAATTGATCTACAGTATAGTACCCTATATGAGATGTAGATGAATGTATATTTTAAAATAAACAATTTGCTACTTGATTGTATTTACTTAACCCCAAACGACGTTCAGCATATTTTTTCTGGTCGGCTAAACTATGTATGCACAACACTCGCGGGGAATACCCACTGGTATATCCCGTATGTTGGGAAACTGTATAAATAAAGATGGCTAACCCTCAGTCTAGTGGACGAATTTACACCGTTCAGATGTTCAAGAAATAGATTAGTATTCCTTAAAAAGATAGTTACCTACTGAAATATTTTATTGTTTTGAAAAACAATTTTTGTTTTAAACGAAAAGAAAGATACTCGTATGTGTTAAAAATTATCATTGATTTATTGTTATAATATAGTATTGTATTATCTTACAAATAGTTTTAGCCAAGCAGTTATTCCGAACTACTCTATTGCTTATATAAGCTGAAAATCATATTTTTATGTAATAACTAGCATTGCCCGCGGCTCCGCCCGCGTTCATATTATCAAAAACCAAATTCTCAGGTTTTATATATTAGTATACTCTTACATTGTAGTTTTTGTATTTTTTCTCAGAAATGAGACATTTTCCCGCGGTAAAAAGTATCTTATATGTTGACCCGGATAACTAGCTATCACCATACCAAATTTCATCAAAATCCCTCCAGTGGTTTTACCAGACAGACAGATAGACAGACAGACAGACAGAAAAAAATTCTAAAAAGTATTGATTCGGCCTCTGTATAGATTATAATACTTATTTCAATAAGATTTTCCAAAAAATATTTAATGCACAGATTCGGCTTAGTTACAATTTTATTATATGTATGGATAACTTCTATGCATAATTATGTCCCATTTTTATTTAGGGGACGAATTTAAACAATTGTATCTGAAAATTTCCTTACATAACGAAAGTTTACCTAAAAGTTAAACCACTCTTGCAAAACAAAAACTAGACCCAGTGTCTAAGCTTTGTATTGATTTAAGTTGGTAAATGGTATATATACATATATATATATATATATATATATATATATATATATATCTTTTATAATTTACCTATGAAAAATATATTATTTCAAATCGGTGTAAATGTTTCCAATTTAAAACAACATTGCGTTTTCGAATACATCGTATACACATCGAATATTACGTATACGAGTATGTTAGGAACTTTCATTTTAGCTGATGCATAACCATTGGCAAACGAACCACCTTATCTTTTGAGTGCAGGTTCATCCTTTTCATACATTTTGTGGGGGACCTACAATAAATATAAAAGCTTTGATTTTTGTAACTTTTAACATTTTCCTCTTTTCATTATAATAGATATATTAGATCTTTTCGTCTCCCCTATTTGGAGGTTATGAATCTTTATTTGTATTGCGAATTTAATCATAAAAGTACCTCATATTATTGTAAACATAAATCTAGTTTAGAAAAACCGCGAAGCTACGTAGGGAGATTTGATTTATTAAAATACTTTGGCTTTTTATGTTCCATTCATTTATTTTTTGTGAACGAATAAGTTTTTCAAATATCAATGAAAATGAAATTGAAATGGGCAGATTGGAAAATATTAAACATGATAATTCCAAAGATGTGATTAGTATAGAAGGTCAAAGCCTTAATGTGCGGTGAAATTAATATAAATATTTAGTTGATCAGTAGAGTCGTCACAAACAGTGATATAAAACGTAAGTGATTCACTTTCTGGGTCACACAACAACAGCGTGTCCCATTAACATCCTATATTTTACATAATACAAGTTCAATGAATTTTACACAGTAATAAAAAAATGGAAATCCTTTTCAACTGAATTCAAAAATGGAGACGGTTATAATATGTGTTCAGCTCTTTTTAATGTCCCACTGCTGGACCCGGTTTCCTTCCATACGAGGGAGATCTGGCCACAGTCCACCACGCTCACACCACATGTCTTTTGAATACTTACTAGATTCTCTCAGACATGCAAACACATCACGATGTTTGATGATGATTCCTTCACCGTAAGATAAGTAGTAATCGGGATTTGAACCTGCTTCACTCGGTTTCCCAAGCGCGCGCGTTACCGCTAGGCT